CGCCACACACACACCCACACACACACCCACACACACGCCACACACACACGCCACACACACACACACACACACACACACACACACACACACACACACACACACACACACACACACACACACACACACACACACACACACACACACACACACACACACACACACACACACACACACACACACACACACGCGAGACAAAACCAAATCTTAATGCTCCAGCGGAACTTATATTGTACATTGGTACATTTTTCCACCCTATTTAGCAGGGATCTCCTGATTAAAGTCAATTTAGCTGGGTTATTCAGGGGTGCAGACAAGGTCCTTCCCTGTTACAGACGTTTAAACCCGCGGACCTGCGGCAGCATCTACACAGGAGCAAATCAAATCCAGCCTCGACTGCTTTTTTTGGGGGAGGGGGGGGCACGCTACTAAAAAGGGTGGAACATTAATCGAGAAGCGACCCTTTGCACAAGCTTCGTCGGCAGCGTTTGCACTTTTCACCCGTGGCAGCTCGTCCAAACGGTCTATGGCGAGTCTATGGGAGACTTTTGCTCACAGGGCAGCCCGTCTCCGTGCGGAATGTGCGGATCATTCCGTCCAAGGGGCATCCACGCAGGATTCGTACATTATCTCAGAAACTTGGCATGGCTTACCAGGTGAAGCTCTCACGAAGCTGGCACAGGCCTGGCCAACGAGTGCTACACTGCAGTACGCAATGCTCGGCGCAAGGCTCGCTGCGGCCCCGCAGTCCCCAGAGCCGTGCCGAGGTCACTCGGAGGGCGAGGCGGGCGCGGGAGGCGGGGTGGCCTCGAAGCGGCTGCAGGGCCAGAGAGAGGCCAGAGAGAGGCCAGAGAGAGGTCAGAGATCAGTGTGGCACGTCTTCTGGACCGCACACGTGTGGCAAATGTTATAACAAGCAAATTTGCTGCACTTGGCCTTTGCTGCCGGGGGCGCCTGGCACAATGCGCACCCCTTAAAGTCGCCCAAAAAAGTCTCCGTATAACAAATATAGAATATATAGACTATAAGGCTTATAAGGTAAGAGGCTTCATCTGCCGGGCCTTGGGCTGCGGCTTGAGGCCCTTGAACTCCCCGGCAAAGTCCCAAAGCCCAGGGCTGCCTCCACTCCAAGGTGCGACCTCACAAAGCTCTGAGCTCGGAATGAATGAGATTGTTGGGAGGTTCTTACTTAGAAGATTTTGAGATTCTGAGATTTCTGGGAGCCCAAAGAATGACGCGGCATCGGCTCCGAGAATCCCACCGTCTACGTTGGCTGAGGGCCCGCGCAATTGACAGTGCCCCGCGCACCATGTCGGCATCATTGACCTCGCGAAAAGCATGTCACAACCTAGTCAATATCGCCACTCGACGTGTCGCGGAGGGTTCCAGCCTTTGGTGCATCCTTTGGATCTTTCAGCACAGGGCTCATGTTGAACTCGAAGAGCCACACATCTGACAAAGGATTGGCTGCAGATTGCAAGGGGGCGTGCAGCTTAGAAAGAAGATGTCTCGACTTCTCCCGGGATCGCCTCCACGGGTGTCAACGATGAAGTCCGCTGAGAAGATCTCGAACTGGAGCTTGTTGAGCCGGCCTGCACACCAAGTTCAGGGCATCAAAAGGCCCTCACGAGCACGCAGATGCCAGTTCTGAAAATCATGCCGCGGCTCATGCTGAACACACGCTCTTGCTTTGTCGCCGCCTTCGAGCTTGCCCTGGGTGACAGCACGCTCAATCACCTCGAGGGGCATCTCGAAGCACTAGGGAGTTCGGGGCTTCAATTGTTGGCAGCCCGTGGTTTAGGAATGAGGCTTGTGAAGCCTTCGTTGGAGAAAAAAAAGGGACTCCCCCCCCTCCCACACCAACCCCAGCTTTTTGCCTTTTGCGGCATTTCCCGGGCACAAGCAGCTAGCAGTGGTGAGTCAACTGAAGGACAGAGTGAGCAGGACAGCACGGTCGGCTTGCTTTTGGAACCATCTTTCACCCTTCTAGACAGGACGATCCAACGAACTGAACCCATTTGTCGACGCCTGACACGAGAATGGCGAGGCATAAAACGTGGATGTCCGATGAGGCCTCTTGTGCACATGTCTTGCAAGAGAAAGAATTAAATTGAAGTTCGCTGCTCAGCCAAACCCGGCATAGCCCTCGATGTTTCGGACTGTGTCAGACAAGTTGCTTGTGCATAAACCCTCCCGCATTGAAGGGAATCGACGTGAGGCCACAACAGCGGCCAAATGACCAGGCCATTTCAGAACAACGACTGACCACTTTACAGGTTCCATGAACTCGGTCTGCGTTTAAAAGCATGGTCACATGGACTAGCCACACTCGTAAGAACCAGTTTAAGAATTATACAAGTAAGGCACTTTTTCCTGACCCGGAGGTCTGCCCTCAGCCCGGCAGCGTTTCGTTTCACAGCTCACGTGCAATATCCCACAGCTTGGTTGCAACTACACTCACATCTGAGAAGTGCTTCGATCGCATTTCTTTCTTTCAACAGCAATGTGTCTCAAGCTTCGGGGTACGCAGCCTACACCGGAGTGCGCATCAACCGTCAACGCTGTTTCCCAGGAATAAATCCACTGCTCGAGCCTCCGCTACCACAGCCTTGCACTTCGGGTATGCGTCAGCCCACGCCTGTGCAACCGGCAGTGCAAAAGCTGCACGGTCGCTGGATGAATTATGATGCATTTGTGGGAGGTTGGAGGACGGTAGGTTGTGAGGTGACCGCAACTTCCGGAACTCCGCTCCTTCCAGCCGCCGATCCGCTCGGTGCGGATGATGGTCACCTCAGGTGGTTGTACGCTTCGCGGACCGGTGCACCCAAGAGATGGTTCGCAGATTGACGCAGGCTGCACGGCAGACTCAGCAGGATTCGGCAGGATTCGGGGGGATTCGGCATTCGGCTGTGGCCGGGGCCTGAGTGTCTTTTGACAGGTCAGTGGGCGACCACTTGTTCGGAGAGATGGAGAGGTAACCATCCTGAAGGCTCGGGGCTCAGCTACCCTCATTGCGTTTAACGGCTACTTCTTTGTCTGATAGGATGTGTGTTTCATGTATCTTTCTGCTCGCTTTGTTGCTTAATTTGCATCTCTGTTTTTAGGCGGGGCAGTGTCCCTAGTCTCCCGGCCCGTCTCGGCGCCTGGAATGTGTAGAGATGCCACCGGACTCCATCTTCGAAGCCCAGGAGGAACACATAGAACTGTAGGCAAGAGCGGAAGGCGCGGGGCTGAGAAAAGAGCTGAGACTGCAAGAATGCGCGCTGCATACCTTGATGTGGCACTTCCGGCCATCATCCGTCAAGAGCGGATCCTGGCAGCTCGGAATCACTGCTATAGTTCACAGATACGACTTCAAAGCTTGTGTTCTTCTTCCTTCTTGGGCTCCAACGAAGAGCTACGTTTCAGCGGTTGCGTTGGTCAAGCATGCTCTGACAGGGCTCCTTGATGTGAGGTTGAACGACGTAGACACCTTCGGGCCTGAGAGGTGTTGGAAGAGAGAGAGAGAGAGAGAGAGAGAGAGACAGAGAGAGAAGCCCTCAATCCAGCCAGTGCTTCAAGCTCTGTGGCTCGGGGCACCCGGCTTGACCAAGCCAAAACAGTCGGAAGGCTTTGCAACGACGTGTACTGACGTGCCTGGCATCGAAAAAGCCACTTGCACTCAACAGCAAGGTGAGGAAGATTTGGACCGTGACGGGCCGCCGTGCTCTCGAGGTTGGGTTGGGAGTCTGCTTAGAAGTGAAAAAAAAAACCTATCCCAACCTTTTCAAACACTGGACTACCCGAAATGACATGCAAGCAGGCCCGAAGTGGCAAATGAGGAGAACTCAAGCACCAAGGACCTCTCAAATGAAAAGAGCTGCTCATCAGCTTGGCCCCCGTGCCCCAGTTTCTGTCCGCTTCCTTCACGAACCAAGGGACATCGCAGGCCTTAGCAGCTGACAGCAAAGAGCTGGCAGCTGAAAAGAGATACTGAGATACACAAACAAAGCTTCAAGAAAACAAGGACTAAGGCCTCCAAATCCGGCGGCGGGGAGCCTCCAAAATCTGCTCTCAGAAACCTGAGACCTGCTGAGAGCTTTCTGAAGGCACCACCTCTCCACGCACCATTCTCGAGAATGTACCTGCCAAGAGCAAGAAACATCTATCTCCCCCGGTCACTGGTCATCCGTGAATCACCGAAGCGGCGCACGTCTCCGGCATCTTCCCGGGTGCCAGCTCCAGCACCTCTCTTGCGCGCGCGCGCGAACATGGCACACAACATTTCTCTCTCCCCATCTCCGCCCTAAAGTTCTAAGCGCATCCCGTCAAAAAAATCTAGAACACGGTGGTGTGAGAAGAAAGCAACAAGAAGAATGAGCTACTGGTATATATTATATATTAGTATCTCTCTCTCTCTCTTTCTCTCCTCTTCTTTCCCTTCTCTTGCCCTTTCCCTCCCACACACCTTGGTCTTCTCCTCCAGCCAGGCCCTGCCTTTGAGGTACCTCAAAGTCAATCAGAGCGCCGCCCTTCCTTCTTGCTGTCACTCTCTCTCTCTGTCTCTCTCTCTCTCTCTCTCCCTTCGCTTTCCCTCTCCGCCTTTCCTTCTCTCCTTTCAGTCTTACACTGAAAGGAGGAGGGATTTCTCGGTCCCGTCTGTTGTTGGGCCCCCCACATTGCGATGCGGCTGAAGTGAGACTCGTCGGCAAAATCCACCAGCTTCTTCCCCAGCGGGCAATGATATTCATTGCCCTTCTCATCCTTTTCGGAGCCGGGAAAAGCGAGAAAGTGCGGGGGAGATGCACTCAACAAAAGCACTCAGTAGGGGTTGGCATTGAGGGGACTCCTCGAACCATTTCTGGTTGGGATAGACCCGCCAGTCGGGCCTCTCCAAAAAATACTCGCAGAACCTGCGCCAAGCGCGACGCACAAGTGTACAGAGCACCAGCAAGCGAGAGGGCTCCCCGCTTGTGCACTCGAGGGCCTCTGGCCATGACCCCCGACCTTGCAGTTCGTGCAGTACCGATACCTGTCACGGTGTCAGAGTGTGGAGCACAATGAGTACAACCTCACAGAGCCTGAGCCTCACCTTTACCATGCGAGCACGCTGCTTGGTTGTGAGATGTGAAGGGCTTTCACGCTGGCCTCTGCTGGAGTGGCTGACCGTCAGTATCGAGGGGCTTTGGCACGGCAGGCTGCGAGTCATCCAGTGCTACCGTCAAAGACTTGTCATCGATGACCTCACGAATGACTCTTGGTGTTCGGGACACCACGGTGCTCTGCTCTCCGCCAAGGAAGCTCAAGGAAGCTGCCTCCTTCATGGAAGTCATTTCTTGACGACTCTTCTCGATCTCAACGTCCGCTTGTGTCAGGTGCTTGTTGACAATCACCTTTTCTGCACGAACAGCAGGCATGCAAAGTCTTAAGCCTTGCCGACGTGTAACAAACACTCTGGCAAAGCCCTATCTGCTGTCCATGCCTGCTCTTGCTGCTTTGATCTTGCTGCGATGCGCAGATCACGCACGGCTGCGCGAACGCGCCCTCCGGACAAAAAACTCAACACGACGAACTAGCATGCGAACAAACAATAGTGGCACTGGCCTGCAAGCTGCATGACCTTCTGCGTGTCACCGGCATCCAGCGTGCTAAGACACCGCGCTGCTTCTAGCGATTCCTCCACCTGGCAAAATGCTAAATAGGTGACGGGGCAAGAAGTGTTTAAGCCAGGGAAGGCATAGGTTTCACATGGGAGTATACCTGACATAACATAGTTGTACAACATTGTACAATGTTGCACTGACTTTAGTATATGCACCCTCTATGATCACAAGTTGCCAACATTTATTCTGCGAACCGAGTTTGTTGGAGGTACCCGTTATTATCACAAGTTTTTTTTTTTTTTTTTTTCCGGACGGTTGTTTTTGTTTGAGGGTTTGTGTTTAGGGTTAAGGGCTTGTGCAGTAATGCTTGAGGCCCTGAGGGTCTTGGGCTCCAGGAATCTTAAAGAGCCAGTGCCCGGAGAATCAGAAAGCCAAGCCCGGCCAGCTCCATGTAAAGCCTTATGGAATTTCATTACGAAACGAGGCACCAAACAATTTTGTGATAGGTAGCCCACGGGCCGGCTGGACTGCCTTGTGGTTTTCCGGATGATGCATTTTAAGGGTAGTGTTCAGGGTTAAGGATAACGCAGTAGACTGAGCTTGAGGTTTTGGGCTCCAGGAATCTTAAAGGCTGGAAAGCTTCAGGCCTTAAGGTCCTAAACAGAGGGCCTTTTTTGGGGGGGGGGGGGGGGGGGGGGCGTGCAAAAACAACACTTGAAACACATAATCATTCGCTGACGGCAGGGCTTTTCAGCCACGGAAACCATGGCTGCTACTGCCTCTATGTTTATTGCTCGGAAATTCTAGCCGCAAACATTGCATAACCAGTAAGCGCGCGTTCCTATTATGAACATAACAACACGCCCAAGAACCCACGAGTTGCATTCAAAAGCATACTGTCACCGCCAGACTTGCGGGGTCTTGCCCGGATAGGCCTCGAGCTCGCCGAAGGAGAGCTGCGTCTGGCGCACCCGAAGCCGGTTGCGGCCGATCTCTGTCAAGACCTCCCCAACTTGGAGATCCACTGTTGCTGCCCTTCCCTCCCTTCCCACCCCGCCCCAACAAAAAGGAAGCTTTCAAGATGAGAGCAAAGCAAGTTGAGGAGTCTTCAGGTTTGCAAAACTGTAGAAGAAAACCCTTTCTCCAGGGCTTCGGGATGGTAAATCTCTCGTGGCCCTCACCTCCCTCTGCTCTGCCAGCGCCGCGTGCTGATCTAAGGCGTCCTCTGAGGGCAAAGAGTGGTCTTCACTGGACACACGACATAACACCGCATGTCCTGTATACTCCAGGATCTCTCATACCTCTGCCAGGTTGTACCAGTACGAAGACAACAGGGAGCACTTGAAGGTTTGGGGCACTGGACGAAGATGTCCATGGTCGGCACTCCTCTCTGCCTCAGAGCATGGGCATCTCAGGATATCCCAGGGCGATTTGCTGCCATTTCTCTAGGTTCCCCCGAAGAATGTCAACAAAAAGCGTGAACACACCACAAGACCGGCAAAGTGGCTCTCTTCCCGCCGCTCTGGTCTCGTCCTGCCGATTGGAAGGGCAGACCCTGTACTGAACCGGTAGACTTTGGAGAGTAGACGAGGGAAGCCATGGGAAGAATTTCTGGGAAGTCATGGGAATTAATCTGGGAAGTGTCAAGTGGAGAGCACATCAGCACATCAGGACCGTCCATGGCCAAGGCTTTCGCGGGCGCCAGCGGAGCTCGGCCTTCTGACACCCGAAGAATCAATTGGACAGTCTCTTTCAGTCTTTTGAGCGGCTTGCGAACGAACTTTCAGCTAGGGGGATCAGCTCAAGAGCAATCATGGAGCGTATCCCCAGGACTTTTGCGCTTATGTGGTGGAAGAAGTGTGGAAGACAGTGACAGCCCGAGCTTCCCGAAAAGCATTCGTCGACACCTCGTGGGGCAAAGGGAGGCTGCGCGCCTGGCAAACAAGTCCCCCGCCAAGAAATGCCTACAGCGCCAAGTATGAAAATCTAGACAAAAGATGCTTTATTCAATGCACAACATTTATACAAACTGATTTCCATCATATTTGTTAATTTGAGGACCATCTACAGATTAGTAACAAGGCAGAGACGCTGCAGAGTTTGTTCCTGTTTACATGAAGTCCACTTCATGGGTGTCCGCTTGCACGTGCGCATTCGTGCAGGGGAGGCTCACGAGCTCAAACCCGCAACACCCTAAAGCCTTAGTGCCCCAAGCCTCAATGCCCTAGAGACCCTACCCCAAGCTGATTCCAGCGCACCATCCAATGTTGACCCTCCCACACATCCTATGATAGCCTCCATAGCTCACAGCATTCCGGACCTAGTCCCAAGGCAAGCAGATCAAGCAGCCTAGCTCCGCTGGCTTTCGTGACTTGATGATTTGCCCCTTGTGCTGAATTTGTTCCTGAAGGGAAAGCCAACTTGGGGGCCCAACCCTTGCAGGGCAGGGGAACGCCTTGAGGGGCCTGCATGGGCCTGCCATGCAAAACTTCTCTCTCTCCCTTCGCTCCTTGGTCCGTCTCTGTCGAGTGCAGCCTCTTGCCTCTTGCTACAATCACCGATCGCCAGTTCATGTGCGGCGCACCCGTCCCCCCCCCCCCAGCCTCCCAAGGTCGATGCATTTCCACAGGCCTCGGCACTCAACAGCCAGATGTGCCCTGAGCCTGAACGAGACTGTCGTGAGACACTGCAGATCCACCGATCCACCTGAACAACTTTACGCTTCCCCCAAGAAACCAACGGCCCTGCACAGTCTACGCGAATCTACTGCGCCAGACCCCAAGCTCAGTTGGCACATGTGGGGCGCACGTGGGGCACGGGCGGGGCACGTGTGGGGCCAGAGCGGCACACGGTGCCTGGGTTGGGGAGTTGGGTCTCGGGCGCTCGTCTGCGGGTTCCCTGCCATCCAGGCCCCAATGCCCTTGGCGCCACCTCACAAGGAAACCACACAAGAAAACAAGCTCCTGCTCAGCCCGTCAGCCCTCTCAGCCCTCTCAGCCCTCTCAGCCCTCTCAGCACGCTGCCTTCCCTCCAACACCGGCAGCAGTCGCATATCTTCTGAAAGCCGACGGCTGCGTGACAAGAATCGCCGACACTTCCGAAAGGTGGTCCGAGTGCCTAGAGAGTGGCGTTTAACCCATTACTGAGGCTGCCTGCGTTGAAATTTATGCTACCGCAGAGACATTAAGAGGTCCCGAGTTGTGGCTAGTTTCAGCCACGTCAGCTGGTGTACAGTCTCTGATACCACACAACCAACTCAGGGTACACCTGATCGTCATCATAAACGATAAACTCTCGGAAGGTTCCGCGGCATTTCTCGCGATCACCCAAGAGACTGTGATAATTCCCATGCAAACACTGTCTGACTAAACTGTCAACATTTGGTGCGACTTCGTCGCTGTACAGCACGTTGCCCAGAACAGCTCGGCAGATGAGCATGCAGCGAAGTCCATCGGCATTCTCTTTTGAGTACTCATCGGACTTGCTACAGCTCTCTGCCATGTAGATGCCCCTTCCGTAAAGGGTTCCTGCATTGGAGCCTGCCTTGTCCACCAGGAAGTCGCCCCTAGTGATGAGCTCGGCAGCCTCATCGTTCGTGCCATGGAACAGCCAGACAGTGTTGGTCTCCGGGTCTGATCCTTCACTGTGGAGCTGCGTGGTCTCAATGCTGGAGGTCTTCAGGTTGTCGATGCTGTTGTTCACATGGCCTATGTGCCTCTGAAAGCACAGGTCGCACAAGTCGAAGTCACACTGCTCACAGCCTTGGATCTTTTCACTGTTCTTAAGCTTTTGGAGAAAGCTCCTTATAGGAACGTTCCGAAGAATTAAAAAAAAAAACAAGGCATCCCGCCAACCCGAAACCCACTCAATTTACCTCTTCTCCCAGGCCCAAGGCTCGATATCGATTGATGCCTCTTGTCTTGTTCTCCCTGATGCAGCCTACGCTCATCCTCGAGTTGTCGCAATGCCAACCGTTGTCTCTCGTCGTTCCCAGCGGTACGAGCGGATGCCCTTTCAGACATAACTTTGCGCCCGTCCGTAGGAGGTAGCACTTTTCACAATAGTCGAAGTCACACCGCTCGCATCGAAAGCCTACAGCAGATGAAGGCAACTGATACAGATATAAAACAGACTGTAAAGAGAGAAGAGATCATAGAATTCGCGTTGTCGAGCTCTCCAAGCCGCCCACGGTTCATGCCGCTGGTCTGGCGGAAGCCTGTGATTTTGCTCGCACAGCCTCCCTCCTCGTTCCGGCCATCGCAAGCCCAACCATTATCTTTGCCTTCAGGAGTTCAGGAGTTCAGGAGTGCCGGAGAATGCCAGAGACTCTGAGTCTGCAATGCAGAGACAATCAACTATTTTCGCCTCGGCTTCCTGCCGGAACAGGCAGACGCTCTGTTTGGCTGTTTTTTGCGACTTTTTGGCACGTGCCCCCTGCGACCCTCCTGGACCCCTTGGGACCTTTCTGGGACCTCCCTGCGACCTCTGGGACCCCCCCTGGGACCTCCTGGGACCCCCCTAAAACCCGGTCAGCACCTGCCGCCCTGTCACCGCCAACCCCTCCTTCCCCGAAAACTCTCCCCACTTCCTGACCAGAAACCCTCTTTCCTCCTTTCTGTCCATGGGCCGGCCCGGCTGCCGAGGCGGCGCGCGCAAGCGTTTACAATTATGTTTCCTGCCCAAGACACTTGTTCCCAGTGGAGCCAGTTCATGGCCATTCCTGCAAACGCCTGTGTTTCCACTCTTCCGCAGGGTCTCTATGTGCTCTCGAATGGATCGCTGCTTGTTCACGAACTCCGTCCAATTCTGCAGGTTCTGAATCCGAAAGGCTCGGACCACCTGCAAGCGATCAGGCACCTGAGACCAAATGCTGATATCGCAAAGTGTGGCAGATTTAGGCTTCGATTGAGGTGGGGGGGGAGCTGTGAGCTGTGTTTTTTTGCAGGTGCTAAATCTCTGAAATCTGCTCTGAGTCGCTTTGGCACCCTTGCGGTCCCGGGTGTAGACCTGGAGCCAGGCGCTGTGCCACGATGCCAAGCTGCGCAAGATGGCAAAAATGTTAGGCAGACGCCGGAACTGAGAGCAACATCACCCACCTTCTTGTGAGACGAATCGAAGATCTCCCTGACAGTGTTTGCAACGCACCGCGGCGCCAAGCGAAAAACGTCAATACGAGATAAAAGGTCATCCAATCAGAGAGGCCGAGGTGCTGAATGGAAGCCACTTCGCTTTCAGTCAACGCCACTTTGCCAAACTTGTTCAGGACATTGCCTTCCTCTGGCGCGAGACCTTTTAGCATTTCAATGTCCTCCGCCGCGACAGTGAGCGTTGGCGAGCTGCACTGGCCAGCAGAACTCAGAAACACTCTTGCAGTCCTCCATCGCAGCCATATCCCAGTAACCTGGAGATCTGGTCTGGTGTGGCAATGTCTCAGAAAACTGCGAAGAGAACTCACTCAAGCGAACAGCGCATGCGCTCCTGGGATGAGGTCCTTGTCGACGGTCATGGGCCGAGGCGCAGCCTCGCCTTTGTCGGGCATCGGCCGGAGCTTGTAGCACTGGTCGCAGAGGTCGAAATCACAAGCCTCTTAGAGTGGTGGAAAGCTGACTCTTGCGGTTAAGTTCCGTCTGAGACAAACCCCAATTGCAGGAGGATTCGGAACAGCTGTGCAATAAGACGCGTCTGGCAGACTCCCAGACCTCTCCTGGACACGTTTTTCCAATTTTGCCACGCCTTCGCTGGTTTCTTCTCTCGCACGCCCGACTTGACATTTTCTCTACGGTAATGCTCGACCAAAGGAGCTTGCATATCATCCACTCCTTTGATGCCCAGCCTCCCCAACCCCCTCCCCCCCGAGCCTCAAATGTATAGACGGCAGCGCATGGAACATGTGAAGAAGAGCCATTTTCAAACTTCAGCATCTTATAATCTTATCAAACGCTGTGTGCTCTCTCCTCGCAGCGGAAGCGGGGGATGCCCTTCGTCTGCCGGAACCCGGTGATGCCACGCTTGCAGCCGCCCGGATTGCCCCGGCCATCGCAGCCCCAGCCATTGTCCCTGCGGCGTCCGAATAGCTGAAACACAACACGGGGAAGAGTCGGGAAGAGGAGAGGAAAATGGAAAGATAATTTCTTCCCCAGACTCTTCGACATGGCCTTGCCAAGCCCAAGCTTGTCATGGGGTGCCCTCGGTTGCAGAGCTTCACCAGCGGCGTCTCATAGCACCGCTCGCACAAGTCATAATCCTTGGCGCCAGGCCCGGCAGGCCCGGCAGGCCCTCCAACTTTGACACGTGCACTAATCAAGACTGAAAAGCCGCACAATAGCGCCTTGAAATCATCTTGTTGAGAGCGATATGCCAAGATTCACAGACTTCGCATCGGAAGCGATTAAGATCTCGCGTGCTTTTGAATCCCCGCGCAATGCTCTTGCAGCCACCTTCTCGCTCGCCATCACAAAGCCAGCCAGGCTCGGTTGCGCTTTCTCGTTTGGGGAGGAAACCGGGGGGGGGGGGGGGGAGGAGGCGCTAGTGGTCAAACGGGACTGCCCTAATCTTGTGAATTGTGAACCCCTGCGAACGCGGCTAACAGCGCTATCCCATCAGCTACTTTAGTTTGTTCACTAAAGTTGATTGAGGCAGCTAGCCTGCCTGATGGCAACTCGAACATCCAGCGCAACTGCAACGTTCGGTGTTGACACAATGCATGGGAATGCCATCTCTGATTGGTTGCAGTCGAAGCGTCTCGCGCAGTGCCCAATGGAACAAGAACGTGACCAGTTGGGCATCGCCTGCTGTTCAGGCGCTCCAGATAGCATTCCTCACACAGATCATAGTCCTGGCTCGTGATTGTTGCCAAAAAGCCCCCCATGTCAATCGGATCATGTAGGAAGAAGCTGTGAAACTTGGATACCTCTACAGGTGAGTGATATTTCGTACCATGCCCACCGACCAATTGATAGCTGCACGAGGACCTATGGTGCAATGGCGAATCCTCTCGCCGGAAATGTACGTGAGCACCTGAATAAGTGCTTGCACGATGCCGCTGTTCACCCAGCAATACCCTGCCGCACTTCACACATCCTATCTTCCTATCAACAGCGTCACAAACATATTTTGTGATCTTGGGGTATAATGTGACATGAAAAACAATGAACTATATGTATACGTGGCAATACCATGCGCGTTTCCCAATCCCAGCGGTCGCAGGACTTGCAGCGGAAGCGCTTCATGCCTCTCAGGGCGTAAAGAAAGGAAGAGCTGACGCGGAACGACCATCACAATCTCATTCAGAGCTGCCAAGAAAAATGCGACTTTGCGCCATGTGTTGGGTCAGGCTCTCAAACGGGCAATACTCGGGCCCCAGTATAGTTGTAGTCGCAAGGACACTGGTACTGTATTTGGGCCTAACCTAGGCCATGTGACCTTGTGTCCGCTGGTGCCCACCAAATTCAAACCACATGTGAGGACACTCACTCAGACTTATCGAAGCACAGATGGCGCGCGCCTTGTGACTGATTGAAGTCTGTGAGGCCGCTTCGGCAGCCGCCCGGCACCTTGATGATGTCGCAGGCCCAGCCATTGTCTGCAGACGTCCCCAGGTTGCTCAAAGCATGGCCCTTCGGACACGTCATCTCTCGGCCCAAGTCCCAGAGTCACCGCGTCACCCTCACGCAAGACAGGGAATGTCGGTGAGATGCAAGGGGGCCTCTAAGATAAAAAAACCGAAGGAACTGTGAGCCACGCTGGGAGATAACACACTTGCCCGCTTTTTGCCGCTGCAAGCATCACAACAACAACACAACCACGTCGATGGCCTCAGCAGGCATATTATGCGGATCTTCAGTTTGCAGTGCGGTCTCTTTTTCTTGGAGATGCTGGCTTCATGGTTTCAGCTCAGGGCGCCGTGACAGCAAAGATTTGGCCAAACATTGCTTGGTAACAGCCGGGCTGCGCCCTCTCCAGCTTCATGCGCGCTTTCGGGCCCGAGCTCATGGACCAGCTTGGTCCGTGAGGCTAAAGGTCAAGCGCGAGAAGCCACGAAGCTGCGTCATACTTGTTCCTTGCTCTTCGCCTTGCAAGCAGCCTGCTTCTGAGCTTGCCTGGTCACTTTGTCCTTGATGCAACATGTAGGCTCACATGTACTCGAACCCTCCCTCTGCAAATATGATTCCACAAAGACCATATACCAATGTTTTGAAGGGTTGCCGAAAGGTGCTGGGCTCTGAACCGTGCCTTTCGGGATCTGACCAGCTGCGCTTCCATGGTAGCTGGCTGAATCTGCAAAGAAGGAAAGAATTTAAACATCCCAAGCTGTCCTGCCTCCACGGAATAGCCTCCCTTCAATATCATCTCTGGGGCCCAATGCAAAGCTGCGCCATATCGTGTGAACGAGCGTCACGACACAAACTTGGATTCCTCACTTGGCCCGGACGCATTTGGCCCAGATGCATTTGCTGCTTTGATATTGCGATGGAGGATGCTTTTGCCTTGTAGGTGCTCCAACGCTAGCAGCACGCCGGCAGCCTGCCTGCAAGGCTCTGGGATCGCGACATTTAAACGCTCCTTTCACGTCACACATCTCCAGGAGAACGAATTCTTGTTCCGCCATACCCAAAAGCCCACGCCGTACCCATGCCTATCCTCACGCGGACCCAGATGTCGTCTCAGGACTCAAATTTTATGGGTGCAGAAAGTGCAAAAAACTGTTGCTGTGAACCTGCAGCCTGAACAATACCTTGATCAATTGGTTCAGGGCTGCTGAAGATGGCGTAAGGAAATGGCCAGGTGCCGCTCTCGAAGTCCTCGAAACTACCGCGAAAGGGCGCGGTGCCAGTGTGCCACGGAACAGGATCATGTGCGATGACGGGCTCTCCAGTATCCCGCAGTCAATGAGCCAAGCCTAAAATCACCAGCAATTCTTGGACCTCTTCTTGTGGCAATGTTTGGAGCAACGGCCCAACGGACGCAAATCTAGAGGGGTCAGATGCTTGCAGGACGGCAGCCACGGCACGGAAGATTGCTTGTCGAATCGGCTTGCGCTGGCGGGTGGGCACCAGCCCAGCCAGAATCACGAACTTCTTCACAAACTCCACATCCAAAGAACCCAAATGAGACGAGCATACTTTGAAGGAAGCGAGCAACAGAAGTTGGCTTTGCGGGTCTCGTGGCTCAACATTGAAGACGGGCAGTAGACCTTTCACAGTGATTGGTCGCAGATCTTTGCATTTCTTTGCAAGTTCCACTGAGACATATAAGGCAGCTTCGCGGTGCTCCTCATGGTCTCCTTGTGCATGCCGAAACACATTCCCAGCGAATTCCCGGACCATGTCTGGATTGTGAGAATAGTGATCTTGGATGCCCGACAGCAACCAGCGGAGACCTCGCAGCTCAACAAGCAGAACAAGCAGTGGAGCATCAGAATGGGTATCTAAACGAAGCACGCAAGAACACTGATTTTGCGACTAAGACGCGGAAGAGCAAGAAGAAGAGACACATCGCGTAAGAATGAGAGGCGTGACTTGATTTTTGTTGGACAGGAACACCCATTGCCATTGCAATGTCTTTTGGGGTCTTTGCAAGCGCAGGGCAAACACAAAACAAAGTACCTGCAGGTCCAGATCATTCCTTGATTTCGCACAGGGCGAAAGAACTTGCAAAAAAAACGCTTGGAGAGGGGTGGATTGCAACCAAATCCTTCCTTGTCGTACACTTCCCACATGGTGTGGCGTCTAGAGTCTAGAGTCTAAACTACTTGTATGTGCTAAGTCATCATTATAAGTTGGTGAGTGTATTTGGTGCGTGTGTTATCGTGTTGCAGAAAAAATGCGCCTGTACAGCCAGCCTCAATGAGGCTCTCCTATACATGTCTCATCATGTCTCCAACGACATCCCGCTGCAACCGCTCGGGGAGGGGTGGACTTCACAAACTGGTCCTTCGGAGCGGCGGATTAAAGACATGGTCCTTCCCTGTGGCACACGTTCCCCATGAAATTTCTCGGGAGGAGTGGATTTTGCAAAGAGTCCTTCATTGCCTGTTCTACACTTCCCATACGAAACTGCGTTTGGAGGGGTGGATTGCGCAACGGTCCTCTTTCCCGGTCACGCACTTCGCACATGAAACTGCTTGGCGAACGGTGGATTTTGCAAGTGGTCCTTCCCTGTATCATACTTCTCACATGAAGCTGCCTTGGGAGGGACTTTACAAATGGTCATTCCCTGCTGTATACTTCCCAGCTAAGACCGCTTAGGGAAGGGTGGAGGTTACAAACGGTCCGAATTCCGGTCATAGACTTGACAACTGAAACCGCTGCGGGAGGGAAGAATCTCGTAGCGTACCACTCGACTCTGCCTTCGCAAAAGTCCTGGCCTACCTGCCTGGCTTTGGTTTCTGATTCAGTGCTGGGGGAGTGTGATTTCTGATGCTGGTTTTTGCTGAAGTTGCTGATGAGTAGTCGCTGATTCGCACGCAACTCCTGACTCGATCGGTGTTTGTTCGAGCATAAACGGTTCCGGCAGTCCCGCCAACTTCACCAAGGAACGGGAGCTGGCAGCAACGATATCATCGTTCAGCTCTGCGCGAACATGTTGCGGAAATGTCAGGGCATACAATCCGCGCATGGCCGTCGCCCTGGCGGAAAACGGAGGTCCCAGGATGAGAGCAGAACTCCACATTTGCTGGCACAGCCGACCTTTTTTGCCCTTACCTGGCTACAAAGCCACTTGGAAGCTTTGCACATAAGCGGGCGCCTGTCAGAGTTGCCCGGATTCAGCAGGTATTTCTCCCAGTCCTGGCGCGCTGCAAACGCTGAGTAAGGCCGAGCAACATGGCGAGACGCGGCGTGCCCTCGACAAGAGCGGCGTCATCCGACGCACGCAAGCGCCTCGATTTTCAACGCATCTGGCCTCTCGAATCGACGTTCCACGACACAGCTGCCGGGCGAAATGCATGTCCCGCACCTGACACGTGAGCCTCTGCAATTCTCTATCAGGATGGGCTGCTGGCCAAGCTAGACTTGTGCCCAGGCACTTGCACCATCTCGAATAATCGCGGCATCAGCCTTTGGTGCACCAAGAAGTTCTGCCGGAGCATTTCGCACAAGAATTCTATCAGCACCGCCTTTGGGTCCTCCCGACCACCGGCGTACGCCGCCCACTGCCGACCCCCGCTCCCTTCCATGCCGCCCTGCCCCGTTCCTGACACGCACGTGCACTGTTCGACACGTACATACAAACCACATAGAATCGCCAAGACACTCAGCAGGCAGCCCGGCAAAACTTGGGCAAATCGCACGCGTTGCGGGCGCCTACATGTGATGGGCTGAAAGGCCAGGTAACACAACAAAGCAACGTGCTTCCTATACAACGTTGCGCACCTGTGCCTTCGCAAGCGTGTTGGCATCCTTGACCTTCGCCAGCGTCTCCGTCAACACCGCCAGCCTGCAAGATGCAAGCGCCTACCAGTGCACTGCTGCTACTGTCTCCGGTGGTTTGATGGTCATGTGAGCCCGACAAGCGTCTCATGCCAGCACATGTCGACTGCTTCATGCGCAACCACACTACCGCAGGTTTGATCTATCGCAGATGCGAGCCGTGTTTCAGCGTGGCCATGTTAAGGAGAGCCAAGCAACTCCTCTCCAAGCTGCGAATTGGCTTTCTTCAGTCGGCCACAGTCCGCGTAGAGCTGCTCAGCTACCTGCCTGTATCGCGTCGCTTGGGCCTTGACGCGTTCCAGCTCCATAGCGAGGGTATCCATGTGGCTGGGCCAAACACTGGACACGACTGCAGATGACTGGGGCCGATTCACGCAAGCTTGAGCGACATCCAGATTCGATAATATGTTATCAAGCTCACATCTGAACTTGCCAAACAACTCCGCTTGCGCATCATGTCCAACATTGAGCTTTGGGGCATGTTTTTTTGGCATAGCTTCGTCACGCTACTGATTCAGGTGCGAACCACAAGTTCGGACAGCAAATCATTTGCAATGAGTCCATTTTTGTCACCAAAAACCCTCGAAGCTGACACATGCATGGACTGCTGAACAAAGCCTGCAAGCTCGCCTGCGGTGCAGTGTTGGTTAGCTTTCCCCGCCTGCGCTCTGCTCATGGACTTAGAAACCTTCCTGCTCGGTCCCCTTTTTTACCTCCTGCATCCTTGCCACCTGCAGCCTTACAGCGTCGCAGTTGAAACATGGCTTCGCTGGACGCTCAACATCATGACCGTTATTGACATGGTGCCAAACTTGGAACCCGAGTCCTATGGACCCATGCCCAACATGGCAGTTTCCCGTCTCCATCACCAGCCTGCCCCTCAGATCCCCCTACCCTCGGCACCCCCTTTTGCGCCGCCCCCCCCCTCCTCGGGTCCCGAGGCTTCATCCTGCTTCATCTGGTTTAGCTTTCGCCCGCTTGGCCGCCTCCGGACAAATCAAAGACAAATCTTCAAGCTTACGCTGTACATACAGAACGCCGAAAAACAACCTGAGGATGCCCAGCACCTTGTTACCCAAAACATCCACAACACTCAACAGGATCAACGCGCCCGGCACCTCTCCAACCACCGAAACGTGCAGACTGAGCTACGCCGAGCTCTCCCCAGGCCTTTCATCAATCCACCCTGTAGGCTTTCATTGATTCCCATCAAGACGAAGGCCGAGCCCATGATTGGAGGATGTCTACTGCGCAAAGCGATCTAGTAGCTAGCTGCTCGCAAAGTCCGGAACAGCCTTGACTAGCATAAGGCCCAAGCTTCTACCTCGGCTCACTCAACATGGCACTCAGACTACCAACAGCACCACCCTTGTCCAACGCAGCTGGGCTGGCGTACAGAGCATGAAGCCCGGTAGCTTCCGCCATAAGCTAGTCCCACCAAGGTCCAGCACTCGGCGCCAAGCCACTCATCGGCTTCAACTTGCAGACCCATCTGATCTGATACCCTCAGAGCTCACACGGTCCCCGATGGAGTATGGATCCGTACTCGGCACGACGCCCGACTGCCCACCTGAATCCACCCGTCCGACGGACCCCGACCCTACACCCCCATCACCAACCCTCATTAACGGCGGCAGCCCGCCACTTGCAAAACTTGACTGAATGTCATCAACAGGACTGTTGCTCATGCTCTCATGTGAACCGAAGCATGGACCATTGATGCAAGCGATGCTACGCTTGTCCTGCCACGCAAACGACAGCGATTGACCTGTTGGACACGAATACGCCGCAGCGATGGACCTCTGACACATGTGACACATGTGACACATGTGACACATGTGACGCTGGCCCGGACCGGCAACTGTGCTAGACCATGCTAGACCCCACAAGCGACGGCGATAGACCCCAAGCTTGCAGAAGGCGCTCATGCCAACGACTAAGCGGCTCACGTAGACATAGTTCCCCTACCCGGCCAACAGAATGCAAAAATTTGCGCACATCCAGGTCCTTCCGAGCTCAAAGCGGCACTCGGGCCAGCTCATGACCACCAGCAGTGGCGGCTACTGTATAGCCTTCACGCCCACCAAAGTTCCTGCGTCAACTCCCAAAGCTCGCACTGGTGCTGGTAGCGGAGCTGACTGATGATGTTGCGAATGTCTTGCTCATGTTGAAATTGAATGCACTGGATGTGGTGCTCGTGCTGTGCTTGCATCTGCTGAATGATCTCCTGGATGTGTTGCTGATGGTGGGCATTCAACTGGTCGATGCAGTTGCGCAGCTCCTGCTGAAAGCTGGCCTGGATGTCATGGAGCAGCTCGCTGGTGACTGAAGGCAACAAGCCAGAGTTCTGATCCGCGCTGGAACTGGATTGGTGATGCGTTGGCGCCACGCATGAAGACGATGAAGAACTTGATTGGTGATGCGTCGGTGCCACGCATGAAGATTCTTCATCTGGCTCGTCCGTCAAGGACAGAATGTACCCAAACCTGACAGCAAGATCCTCGTCAACTCCCTGTACCTTCAATAGAGACAAACGGCGGCTTTCAACGCGTACATGCTTGTACCTTTGAAGAACCTGCCTCCTGCTTGGGGCGAGTCTCCTGCCAAAGGAGACATGACTTTCGCATGTCCCGAATGCGAAACCGAGATCTGAACCGAATCGGAAGCCAACCTAAGGCTTATATCTGAGTTTTGCGACGGGGCTCCATCTCACTTCGTTTACCATGGACCCAAATTGGTTAAGTCGACAAGTCACCCCGGCTGAATTGGAAACCAGAACGGTTGCATCGGAAACCGGAGTGATTGCATCAGAAACCAGAACGGGTGGATTCGGAAGATTCGGAAACCCAAGACTTCAATCGAAATTAGGACCTGAACATCGGAAAACGAGAACCATTGACCCGGAAAACAATGCATGATTCGGAACCCGAAGACCCGGGCTTGAAACTAGGCCCGAATCGGAGCGAAATGATGCACTTGGGAATGGATCAGAACGCTTGCCCTTGCGGGTGCACTGAGAAGAGGACGCATCATTGTTCGTAGCAAAGATGCGCAATGCAAGTGAAGTTGCACGCGGCTTCTGATTCGCACTAGCTTTTGATTTCTGATGTGCGCCGGCTGCTGCTTGCTGATTCTCACTACAAGTAGTTTTTGGCTTCTGGTTCGCGCAGGTTCTGGCTTCTGATTTGCGCCGGCTTCTTGTTTGTGGCCCGCACTGGTTTCTGAGTCACGCTGGTTTCTGATCTGCAGTTTGCGAGTTGCTCTGGTCTCTGAGTCATGGTTTGATATTCGCTGGCAAATTCTGACTCGCAATTTTCCGATATGCGTTTCTTTTGTTTTGTAGTTTCTGCTTCGGCGCTGGTTCCTGATTCGCTCGTGCTTTTTTGATTCGCGGGCTGGCTGCTGATTCGACCATTGATCACGCGTTACTATGCTGGGTCGCGAACTTTTTGCTTCCCGAGTCGGCACGACTCCAAGCGACTTAAACAAAGGCAAAGCAGGCACGGCTGCAAGCCGGCAACACCAGCAACAAAGCAATCAAAAACATGACTCCGTCAAGACTCCGGACGCAAGACTCCGGATGACAAACTTACTCCTCTCTGAAAATGGCTGCGAGACTGTCGTGGCTCGCACGTGTGCTCTCCAAACGCATCCTTACGCGTGCGAATCACACGAGCAATGCTCTTAACCACCGCCGGGGCCGGAGGGAGGGGGATAATACCATGCGGGAGAGGCGGGGGAGGGCGGGGGTTGCGGGCGGGCGCGTGACTGCTGGAGGGGGGGGGGGGGGGGGGGGGGGGGGGGGGGGGGGGGGGGGGGGGTGGCCGTGAATGCTGGCGTGACTGCTGGGGCGGGGGGGGTGGCTGCGTGACTGCTGTGCGCGTACAACCCCTAAGTCCCAATCCCGAAATCCCTAAACCCCCGTAATCCACGAACGCGTAAACTCTTAAACTTTACACTCTTAAACTCCTTGCCGTAGGTGCAACAAATTATACAGGCGGACCCTTGATTTGACTGAACCCCTACATTGCACCCTTTGGGGATCCTTGCTTTGCGTGTAGGCATGGTGCGAATCTGAGGGTCTACAACCGGACCGCTGATTGACCGAAACACCTGTTGGGGTGTTGCAGCATGCCTGGTACGAAGGTGGGGTACACAAGTGAACGGATATACAAGCGCACCCTGCTTTGACTGCAACAGACACCAACCACTGTGCATGTGGCCCTAACTGCCCAGGCATGAAGAATGCAAAATGCATTCATCGACAGTTCTGCGTTGCAGAGGCAGCCAAGTGTGCCGCTGGAGACACATCGGGCTTCGGGCTTAGAACCCTAATTTAAAGCTCTCAAGCCCTCTTTTGACTCAGGGGCAGAGACGGTGACTCATGTCCATTTCCCACCAAGAAGAGGCGCCGCTCTCCTTCAGCGCAAGAACGTCCCTGAGCTGACTCAAAAGTGGTGCTCCCTTCCTTTGTTGCGTATTGTGGCCCGGCGAAAGCCTCGGCCGTGAACCTGTCTCGCCTTGACCGCGCAAGCTGCAAACCCAAAGAGGAAAACCCGAAAGCCTCACTTGGGATTCGACATGATTCGAGTCAAGGCAGGCCCCCCCACGAGAAATAGGAACTAAGGATAGGGGACACTTTCGTGATGTTGGCGCACGGTTGATTTCTAGAGCATACTGAATCTGCATTACAAACTCTTCTTCTCATCCTTTTTTTCAGAATGCCCGCTGAGAGCCACATGGCTGTCCACTCAAGCTTTTGTTGAAGTTGACGACGTGTTACATGTTGGTGACAAGTCTGCCATGACATCTGCCGTCTTTTGCCAACGTCAAAATTGCTCAAGGCGTTCAGCGCGTTCACAGTTCTTGGCGATGGGATCGGGGGGGGGGGGGAGGGTGGGGATTGGTCCTGAAGAGCACAGAAGAGCACAGAACAAAGTCTAAGAGGGCGGAGAGAAACGGGAGAGAGGATGAGAGGGAGGCAAAAAGACTGCGCTTCTGCTTTTCTTATGGAGATGTTAGGGTGGGGGGGATCGAAGGGGGGAGTGGCCTCAGTAAGGCGGACTTGGAGGCTACCGAGCTCCAATTGCTTAGCGATTGCTTAGCACTTAGCAAGCCTCGTAACCTCCGAGCTCTTGCCAAGCACTCGCTGAGCACTTGTTAAGCCCACTCGGGCCCCCCTCCCCCTCTCGACCACCCCTCCCCTAAGATCTTCATGATTTTCCCGTGTGCCTTTTCTTCTGTGTCACACGCGCGCGAACATGATCTCTCCTCATGCCACGGGGTCTCACGGCGCGCCATTTCATTGACACCGTCGACTGGGCACCAGTAGGAAGTTTTTGAAGAGGCTGCTGAGGGTCCAGGGCGCCCTTCGCTGGCTGCAAGACGTATGACGCAAGAAGCCGGAGTGGCCGGACATTCATCACATTTGACAGCAGCGCAGTCAGGGGGTCAAGGTCAACGAGCCTGCGGCGTAGAATCCAAATTCTCACTG